CTCAGTGGGTTAAGCCTCTGCCTTCGACTCAGGTCATGATCCCAGGGTCCTGGGATCGAGCCCCATATGGGGCTCTCTGCTCAGAAGGGAGCTGTTTTCCCCTCCCTCTCTGCCTGCCTCTCTGCCTACTTGAGATCTCAGTCAAACGAACAAATAAAATCTTTAAAAATTTTTTAAAAAAGGTAAAACCCACTTCTGGCCTGCATGCTGGGGAAGGGGCAGTGACTGGAGCACAAGAACACCTGAGCAGAGACACAGCTTCTGCTTAGGACTCGTTGCATCTGGGGGGCTTCTGGGACACCCAAGTGGAGATTTCTCTAGGTGCCAAAGGCACTGGAGCATGACAGGGAGGCTGATGCATGAGCTTTGGAAGTGGGACTCATCTAACTCCGGAGGCAACTGGAACATGGGGCAGGATGTACTGGGCACACATGGTGGGTCAAGAACGCAGATGAAGGTAATGACGGCTGGAGGCTGAAGCGTTAGAGGATGGGGATGCCGTTTTGTTTTCTTCATTTTAGACCGGAGATACTACAGGTATTTAAATGCAGATGGCAGGAAGAGACTAGAAAGTGAGAAGATAAAAGAGAGGAGATAGTGGGTAGGAGGGTCCCTAGGAAGTGGGGAGGAGGTGAGAGCCCCAGTGGGTGACCTCTCCCAGCCTTCGCCAGCAGCATCTATAAGCAGGCAATCAGTGACAGAAGGCACCACAGATGCAGGGGAGAGTGGGCAGGTCCAGTGGCATCGTCTAATTTCTCGAGGTTTGGGGATCCAGCTTGGAACAGTCCCCCAGGAGACTCCCCCAAAGGCCACCTCATTACCCTGGCACTCATCACAGAGGTTTTCCTTACTGTGAGGTCAGTATCATCATCCAGAGAGGGGCCACCTCTCAGGGGCACACTCCCATTGCCCAAATTCCAAAACCTGATGTATAAGCCCAGGGATGCACATTCAAGTACAGGGAGGAACTGGTGTGCTTAACCAGCAAGTTCACTCCAAGCAGAAGACCTACAGGGGAACTAGATCCGGATCAGAAAGATGTTAATCATGACATCAGTCCATTCCCAGGCTGACTCCTAGGAGTGGAGTGGTGCCTTGGCCAAAGTCTGCCTTCTTTTTTTCTGTGCTTCTGGGGCTGATCAATCCTCTTTGAGAGCACATTTTTTTTTTCTTTAGATATGCTAGTAAATTCAATCAGGCTGACAATTATCTCCTTTGCCGGGGAGCCTCGGTGTCCCTTCAGGAAGCTGCCTTCTTTTGTGGCTAGGTTCATCTGTTCAGGGTGTCATCATCACATCCCAGCACTGACCACAAACGCCCTTTTGGCAGAGAATGGGGCAGAGAATGGGGCAGAGAATGGGGCAGACCAGGCACTACCCCGTTGACTCCAAGCCCCATGAGGGCAGAGGGCTGTGCCCACCCTGTTCAGTGCTGTCACGCAGGGGAGTGCAAACTGTTTCCATAAAGGGCCAGACAGTAAAATGTTCTAGGTTTTGGAGCCGGAAGGACTCCATGGAAACTACTCAAGCCAGAGGTTGCCCCACCAAAGCCCCCAGACTCTATGTAAATGAACAGGTGGGGCAGCGTCCTAATCCAACTTGACTGACAAAAGAGGCTTCAGCCTGGAGGCTGTGCTGAGCCCATCTCTCCAGGCCCTGCCCACTCCTGCCTGAGCACAGCACCCGAGCCCTCAATAAGTACTTACAGAAATGCCTGGTGGGCTCTGTCAGTGGAGCTTGCGACTAGTGACCTTGGGGCTGTAGGTTCAAACCCCACTTTGGGTGTCAAGATTAATTACTTAAAAATAAAATCTAAAGAAAAAAAGAAAAAAGAACAAAGGGCAGGAAGGAAAGATAAGAAATAGGCACCTGAGAATTTTTTCCTTAAGTCTACCATGACATCCTTGTTTCTATAAACTTCTTCCCATATTGGGATAAGCACTAAGGGACTGGAGTGTTCTAAGGAGGGAGGTGGAAAATGAGCTAGCATTAGCCTGAGAGCTTCCAAGCATCCACATAAATTCGTGAATGGATCATTCCGTGATGGAAGGCCCTCAGTCCAAGTGATCAGACTTTTTTTTTTTTTAATGGCCTGAATATCCTCCTTAAATGGGGTAGGTACTTAGGGGACCATAAACTGGCTTGGAGCCCAAGGCCAGGCCTACAGATTCACGTGCTCTAAACATCAGACTGCAGTGTCTCGAGGCCAGGTGCCATGTCTCTTTCTCTTGCTTCCAGCCCGTTCCTCACTCAGAGCACGCACACAGTTCCCGCTTGTCCCTGAGGTCATTCAGTAGGTCCCATTCTCCTCTCCATGTTCCCAGATTTTCTATAGCCATCACATCCCAAAACAACAAAGCCGAAATCAATGTTAGACTAAAACCAAAGAGTTAATAAAAATCACCCGAAGAGGCCATCAGCTTTACAGGGTACTTCTTCCCTGTTCTAGACAGAAACCTCTTCCTGCTTCAGAAGACCCAGGACTTGGGACAAAGAAAGGAGGCAAGAGCAGTTCAGTCCTGACAGTACTAAATGCCGCTGTTTGTCCTCTGACTTCTGGGAAAAAGATCACTATCCTCTTCGTGGAACAAATGATTAAGACTATTTACAAATCCTTCCTATGTGGGCTCTTGACATTCTCAGCACCCAGGCCTCTGCTGAGGCTACACCCGCCTCTACGTTCAGAAAATGTGATCCAGAACCTCTTCCACTCATTTAGGAGCAATACGGAGTGAAGAAAACAGGATTGTCTCATTAAAAAAAAGCAATTTTTCAACTGACCTCAAAGAATCCCAAATAATGGCCATCTTACTGAGACCACCTCCTGATGGGGGAGGAAAATGTAAACATCTGGTTGTCAAATATCCAGTGATACTGACTGGCTATCAGACCGGAGGTTTTCAACCCTGGAGGAGGCAGGAGACTCAGAATGACCACACAGTGCTTTTCCAATAGAATTTCCAGGGCCTCCTCCCAGTCTCAAGGGTCTGAAGCTGGCAGGGACGGGGATGCGTTCATTCACAGCGCTGGAGGCGAGCACAGCACCTGACGTAACACACTCAGTAAATATTTGCTGAAAGCACTGTAGGTCACAGCTCCTTCTGGGGAACGTACGAGGAACCAGAGTCTGGGGCTTTAGGAAAACATACTTTTTATTGCTTTACTCTTTTGCAATGATTGAACTTTTACCATATTTTTTTGAGGGTTCATTGAAAAACTATTACCTATAGTTAAAATAATTTAAATCCTAAATCAAAATAATTACAATAGATGTCATTACAAAAGCCAGCTCGGTAAGATAAATTGTAGATCTGTTGTCTTAGGAGTATGTCCTAAGTGGTATCGCGAAAGTGAAAATAATACTTGGAAGCGTTTATTTCACACTTACAAGCTGCTGGGCAAGAGTCAAAGTGCTTTGTACATACTGATTCACTTCTTTTAACATCTCTACGGGAGGAAGGAAAGACCGTATCTCACCTGAGGAGGACAGGAGCCCGAGGAGAAACTGAGGCAGCAGGCCCAGGGGCATTCAGCGTGAGTAATGGACAGAGCGGTCTGACCCAGGGACCTAGGCGGAGAGTCTACATCCCAACGTCTCCACTAATAGGTAGAACTGGAAATGTGACCCATCCCAAAGGGCCTCCACTGATTTAATAAATACATCATCACAAGAAATTTCAACAAATAGTGGAATGAATAAACGGCCAAGTCATCCCAGGAAAGCTCAACCTGACTCTTTCAAAAGTGAAATGGGGATGTGGGGGAGGGAGGACACCCTCCTCAGGATAGCCAGGCGGGACCAGGAGGGCAGGACAGGTGCCCCCTGGGTTTTGTCCAGTTGGTTACGAATTCCATCCCAGTGAAATGGCATTAGCTCACCTCAGTTACGTGCACAAGGAGGGCTTTTGTCTACTCTATCCACAGCACCTAGGACAAGGGCTGGCGCTTAGTAGGTGCTCAAGGGAAAGTTAACGAATGAAAGGCGTGAGTGCTCTACCCATGACCGGCTGCTTTAAGAGTCTGCCTACCTCGCACAGGCTGTTCCTCTGGGCTAGCCCCTGTGCCGTGAACTTGGCAATAGCTCTGTGAGGGTGGACCCATCAGTAGCCCCCGTTTCCCTTGGGATGACTTTACAGAGAGCACCCACCAGGGATCCTGCACACGTTCATAGGAATAAATCACTCATGGACCCTGTGAGAGAGACAGCCACCCTCCTGGCCATCAGAACATGAATCAGCTGATAACACCTGTGCACGTAAAAAGCCCTCAAAGACAGGCCACGCTGGGATCAGACAGGGTGAGTGGGTTTCCCTTGCTCTGGTGGCCTGACTCTCCCAATTAAGAAAATCGTGTCTCGCTTGCGCAATTAAAAAAGATCAAAACAGGGGTGCCTGGGAGGCTCAGTCGGTTAAGGTAGGGGCTCTCGATTTCCGCTCAGGTCGTCATCTGGCTCCAGGTCGAGCTCTGTGCTCAGCAGGGAATCTGCTTGAGATTCTCCCTCTCCCTCTGGCCCTCCCCCCTGCTTTCTCTCTTTCTCTTAAAACAAAGCAAAACAAAATAAAACAAAAAAAAGAAAGAAAGAAAGGAAAGGATCAAAAACAAAATGAGGAACTCTTCTATTAGGGGTCTGGAATGGCAGGGCCAAGAACACAGTCTTCTCCCCCCAAATCAGCTTTTTAAGGACACACCCTCGACAGCTGTTCCCCCTACCACTGAGAGACGCTCGCCCAGCTCGCTAGTGTGGATGTCCTTTGGGTTTTCTGGGGTGCCACAGGGGCATGTCTGCCATCTGCACGACAGTCCTGGGGTTCAGAGTCTTGCCTGGAATCCCGAAGGGGAAACTTAGAGGCGGGGGGGAGGCCCTATGGAACCCCTGCTGTCGCCGTGCCCAGCCGGACCCGGCAGCTGGTGGGCCACCCCCCCCCCACAGCCGTTTCCCGTCGTGCCCGCCAGCAGGGCATCCCCGCCCCTCCCGCCTGGCCCTGCCCCACCGTCACGCACCTTGGATGGTCCTCTTGAAGAAGGCCTTGCAGGCCTCGCAGGACGCCACGCCGTAGTGATAGCCGGAGGCGATGTCCCCGCACACGAGGCACAGGCGCTTGGGGATGGCGTTGAGCATGTACTCACACTTGATGGCCGAGTCCTCCATGAGGCCACCCGCACAGTCCTCGTAGCTCTTGCGACACGGGGTGCTGCCCAGCCCGGCACCTGCGAACATGGGCGGCGAGTCCAGACCATTGGCGTGGGCGCCCAGGGCCAGGCCGAAGCCGCCGCTGGCGTCGGACGAGCCACTGGGGCTGTGGTGGCTGAGGGCGTCGATGCCCGAGGAGGGGCTGGACGGCTCCGTCTTGATGAAGGAGCCGCAGCTGGAGCCCAGGTGCCGGTCGTCCGCAGACATTCTGTTCAGCAGCCTGGGGACACACAGAGCGCGGGCAAGTCAGCTCCGACGAGGGTGCGGTGGGTGTGACACCCGCCCCAGGAATTAGCTTGGGGCTCCGGGCACCGAGTGGGCGGGGTGGCTGGGAGGGGCTCCGTGCTCAGGCCTTGGGGAGATAAAAATGCTGACCCAGAAGGTCAACTGGTCAGGACACTGCGCGGCCCAGAGCAAGATTCTGGCTTTACCCCCCAGAACCTTCTGACTCCACAGAGGAAACTTCGATCAGTCAACCTCAGACCAGGCACCCCGGCTCTCTGTACACTGCTGGCCTCAGGGGGACTTAGAGCGGTCACAATTCACACAAAATAGTTGGCCAACCTCCCTGCACGACAAGACCCCATGGTGGCTACAGGTGAAAGTCTGGGTGTGCGGCCGCAGGACCTGATAACCCATCTCACCCAGCCTCACTGGGGCTTCTAGTAAGCCCAGCTGGGAGCTTTCCCCATGGGCCACCATCCCTGAGACTGGGACTGGAGATGCCTAGCAAGGCGCCTGGCCAGGGCAAGAGGTAGGGCTGGTGACAAAGGCGGCCCCTTGGGGTTTGCCTCTGGCCTGGGGCCGTGTGGAAGGTGGCTCCAGGCCCCTCCCTCCTGTCCCTGGTCCTAGTCCTTCAGCAGGATGGCCTCCCACCCCACAGGGCCTCAGAGACAAGGTCTCCGAGAGGCGGCATGAGCTCCCTGCATCCGCAGCGGCTTCTTAACCCTACAATTCAAGCTCTCAGCATCCCTGCCTCACCCCCAGAGTCAAGGGAGCATTACCACCACGACAGGATCACTGTGAAGGGTCAAATGTTTCCCAAAATAAAAGTCCCTCCTCCCACGCCTGCTGGGTGAGAAGATGGGCAAGGTGTGACTCTCCCACAGGGTCGGGGTTGGGGTCGGGGGACAAGGGGAGGAGCCTTTCTCCAAAAGGGCAAGAAAAGCTCACAGCAGGGTGATGAAGGTGGGCGTTTAGGGAAACCCAGCTGTGGCCCCATAGTCAAGACCTCCGCGGCCAGCCAGAATCTGGAATCAGGAGGCTGACTCGGGGTCCATGTGTCTCTGACCTGGCCTGGCTATGTGGAGGTAAGGAGGAGCCCAAGGCTTATGCCCACGGAGCAGGTGAAAGGAAAGTTCCTGGAGAAGGAAAAGGGCCGACCGGTCAGCAGTACAGCCCCATGAATGGAAAGAGGGCTCTGGCTGGGAGGGAGGGTCTCAGCCCTGCTGGGTCCCCTGGGTAGCAGCCACAGTCCTACCTCCAATAATACTCAGAGGGAGCCCCTGTTTCCTGAGCAGTCCCTGGAGGAAAGGACTGGTCAGCGCCCAGGGAAGGGCTGCTTTGCCCACTCCTCCCCCGTAGCCGCCCCCCCCCCCCGAAAAGCCCACCCCCACCCCCACCAAATGCAATCTCATGATGGGGAGGGGCCCTCGCCATCCCTTAAGCCACTAATGATTTCCTGGTTAGCCCACGTCCCCAGGGCTTGTCCCGTCCATCTACATTTGAACATGCCCAGAGACAGGGAACTTACTGCACACAGGCGGTTCTAATCAGACCCTGGGAACTGCAGATGCAAAGATAAGAGATAGGTATAAGGCTCCCACTCTCAAGTTTATCTACTGGAATGTAGTGTTTGAAGATACAGGCTCTCAGGCGTCTTCTGTTCCAAACCAAATGTTCCCAAGTCCTCTGAGACCTCATGCAAGCCTCTCATGCAAGCCTCTCATGCAAGCCCCGTGTTTCCCTCACATCAGTGGGGGGCGCCCCAGCCAGGGATCTCCTCTGGGTCCTTTTACAGCTCTGGATGGTGCCCTGTCATCTTCCTGGGTTCCATATGGCCTCCTGCTTCCCCCCCATCTACCGGCAGGTCCCTGGTATGTCCACAGGAAAGGCCATCAGCCTGGCAGGGCATAATCCAGACAGAAAATCTGCCTGAGTAGGCACAAGTGCACTTCTGGGGGACCTCCCCGCAGCACCCCTACACAGGGCAATCAGGGAGAGCCGACCAGGGGCCCTTCATCTGTAATTCCCTGCTGCTCATTGCTTTAGGCTCTGCAGGTCACAGGAATACTCCAGGCCCCCTGTGACAAGCCCTACTGGGGAGACAGCTCCCAGACCCCAGCCCTCCATCCCCACCCCTCCCCCAAACTGGACAGAACTCAAGATTCCAGGATATACACCTGATGTAAGCACTGATTGTAGCAACTACAGTAGTCTCCCCTCCTCCCCCACAACACTACGTCACAATGGCTACGTCGTTCACCCCACTTGGCCTCCTCACATAGGCCTTGTATCATCTCATCTTCAGAGACTCCAGGGCCGAAGGAAGCAAACATGACCCAGGCCTCCGAGTTGCATGGAAATCCAGCCATAAATTTATTGCCTGCATCCCAGCTGTGTGCGTGTGTGTTGCGGGGGGGGGGGGGGGCGGTTGCAGAGGATCTCATTCTTGCAGACTTCTCTTTCCTGTGACCATTATTTTGACGCCCCTCCACCCCGGATTGTCTTTTCTAGGGAGAGTCAACGCCTATTTCAGACACCCACTATGTGCCAAGTGCTGGCCAGAGAAAAGTCATAACAAGCACAGCCCACAATCTCAGGAAGCTCGTTCTCTCTCAGGAAGGGCAGACACTAAACACACACAAGTGTGCAGAGCACCAGAAAGTGTGTGCAGAGCACTAGAAAGTATGTGCAGAGCACCAGAAAGGGCCAGGGGGCCTACCAGGCTCATAGGGGCTCCCCTGCCGCGCCTCACTGGTCTTGCTGCATTCACTGGCTCATTCATTTGTATTTGTAGACTGAAGACTTTCCTCCAGAGGGCACAGCTGCTTTTCTGTGTTGAAAGTTCCTTCCAGACTCTTCTGCCTGTTTTTTCAAGCTCAGGAGCTACAGGTCTGGCCCTCTGCTCTGCGGGAAGCCTGCTTCTCCCTCTCCTACTCCCCCTGCTTGTGTTCCCGCTCTCTCTGTGTCTCTCTCTGTCAAATAAACAAATAAAATCTTAAAAAAAAAAAAAAAAACGAGCATATGTCTTGGAAATGCAATGAGGAGGGAGTGGCGGCAGGTCACAGGTGGTCACAAGGTCAGAGGAAGTCAGATGGGGCAAGTGTCCACTGCAGTGAGCAGTCAGGGGGCTGGGGACTTCACTAGGGGAGTGTCAAGGCATGGTGGGGATGGAAGCCACATTGCTGTGGCTGGAGGAGACAGTTCTTGGAAGAAGTTCGGCTGCAAAGGGTAGAGAAGGGTGTGAGGGTGGGGTTCCTCCTGGTACACCTTCAGGTGGTACCATCCACTTGAACTTGGGGGATTTAGGAGGCAGAGAAGGAATGTTTTGTTGTCATGTCAGTAACTGTTGGTCTCTGATGAGGAGGGCTGTGGTAAGAATGGAGGGAACTTGGGGGCACCTGGCTGGCTCAGTTGGTGGAGCACGCAGCTCTTGATCTTGGGGTTTTAAGTTCAAGCCCCACGCCAGGGTGAGAGGTTACTTAAAAAAAAAAAATTAAAAACAACAAAAAAAGGAAAAGAATGGAAGGAATTTAAGGCATTTAAATATTATGGAATCAGGGCGCCTGGGTGGCTCAGTGGGTTAAGCCTCTGCCTTCAGCTCAGGTCATGATCCCAGGGTCCTGGGATGGAGCCCTGCATTGGGCTCTCTGCTCAGTGGGGAGCCTGCTTCTCCCTCTCTCTCTGCCTGCCTCTCTGCCTACTTGTGATCTCTCTCTGTGAAATAAATAAATAAAATCTTCTTTAAAAATTTTTTAAAAAATAAAATTATGGAACCCACACTTTGCAGTGTGCCCTGGGCGATCCTGATTCTACCCACTGACCCAGTATAATTACCGATCCCCCCCCCTCCCCAAAGTAGACAATGAATGATACGGTGCCTCTACCTTCAGTGCTAACGGTAAACACCAAATCAAAGTGGAGAGAGAGAAAATACAAAAGGTAAAAATGTTTTTCCCAAATTCTAGTCTACTCTTTTTTTTTCTTTAAGATTTTATTTATTTGACGGAGAGAAAGGGAGATCCCCCAGAGAGGACAACCCAAACCTCCAGACATGGCTGAATGTTCCCTGGGGGAAAATCCGCCCGAGACAGGCATCACCGACAGAGATGTATGAGGGAAGAGGGAGAGCCGGGGGTCCGGGAGCAGAAGGTTGGGCCAATGAATGGTGCAAGTCTTGGACATAGGGGGTCAGAGCAGAAAGGGTAGAAGTGGGAGGAAATGGTGGGGGCAAGGGCCAGGAGCCCATGGTTTCTGGGGGTGTAGGCTGAGTTAAAGCCAAGGAAGGAGCGAGAAAGCTGGGGAGTTGGAGGTGGGATCAGGGAAGATGTCAGAGGTGGGGCCTGGATGCAGGGGCCCAGGAGGATGGAGGGGAAGGGCGGTGCGGGGAGCGGATGGCATGCAGGATGGAGGGCGTGCGCAGCCTTGGGATGAGGGAAGGTGGCTGACACTCCACTCTGGGGAGGAGGGCGTCACATCGAGTCCATCATCTGTGGCTGGCTGGGACCCAGTTCCCAACTGGGTCGATGACTATTGACTTTTTGGGAGGGGACAGAGGCCCCAGCGAAGCAGGCTTTGGAAGAGCAGTGGCCAGTGGTTGGAGGCCCTGGAGGCATCCCTGCCCCTGTGATCCATGGGTAACAGGAACACGGCCAGAGCCGCCCTGGCCTTGATTTCACCAGCATCTGATTAGGCCTGGCCTCCCTCCCGCCCCAGTCAGCTCTCTGCCACCGGCCCTCTTAGCACTCGGTGTGGAGACCTGTGCCCCCGAGTGGCCTGGCCTCCAGGGGTGCCTGAGCTCACCGCAGGGCGGGGGGGATCCTTGATGGACAACAAAGTGGGTTGAAGATTTTCCTCTAAGACCAACAGAATCTTAGAGATTCTGAATGAAACTCAACGTGTTGAGCTATTTGCCACACACGTGTGGAGGAGGAGAAATTCCAGGGTCCTGGCAAGAGACAACTATAATCTTTTAAGCTGGACTCCCAGGGATCCGGC